GGGGGAGGGAGGAGCGGGGGGAAGCAGGTTGCCAAGTGCTGGTGGTTCAAACTGTAATCCTACTCAGGAGGCTGAGATCTGAGGATCATGGATTCTAGCTTAGAAAGAAGTCCATGAGACTCCTTTCCTATTAACCCCCAGAAAACTGGAAGTAGAACCCTGACTCAAAAGTGGTAGAGTGCTAGCCTTGAGCAAAAGCAGCTCAGAGACAGTGCCCAGGCCAAGCTGAAGTCCCATAACCAACAACACAGGAAAGTGGTATATTTTTCCCTTTTAGGGGATTAAAGGCAGACATAAAATACTAATTCCTTCTAGTTCACTTCTCAGATTACACTTGTATTGAACTTCATAGAAATGTGTGATATCAGGAACTTTAAAGCCACAATCCTTAGATCTCAGCCTCTGAGTAGCTAAGAATTACAGTATAAGCCATCTACACCCACCTTCTATTTTTTGTTTGTCATGGCCCTTATCCCTAAGCTCTTCAGCTCAAGGCTAGCACTGTACCACTTGAACCAGTCACTTCCAGCCTTTTCTGCTTATGTGGTACTGAGGAATCAAACCCAGAGCCTCATACATGCAAGGCAAGCATTCTACTACTGAGCCACCTTCCCAGCCCTAAACTAGTTCTTAATACAAGCTTTTATTGAGACCAGGCTTTATCCTCAACCTATCCCATCAAAATCACAAATGCAGTGAAACAAAATTTTCATTAGCAATTCTGAATGTAGGTGAGGAGGTAAACTATGACTTTATTTCCATTATACCACTGTGGAAAAAAACCTATTTAACCAGGTATTCTTTTAATTGAAATGAATTCCTTAAAATCAAATTTTACAGAAAACCTTTAATGCCAAGAATGTTCAATCAGTAAGACAGCTGGCTACTTACCATCTTAATATTAAAACTCAAGTCTTGATGCCGTAGCATCTGCAGCTTTCAGTTCCATTATGTCTACTTTAAAGAATAATTCGAATGTGAAATTGCAACTTCTTTCAATTATGTCAGCTTGGGATGGACAGTCAGAAATAATCAAGTATTACTAAATGCAATTACTGTATGTCTAACTCTTCCTGTATATTCACATGGATTTTATTCCTTGAGGACTTTAAAAAATCAAGCATTGTACACATAGTTGTTAGCAGTTTAAATTTTATTGACCTCCCAGTTTTTAAAAAAAAGTTAAATTTAAGGTCACACCTCTAAGTTTGATGTACTATATACAGATCGTGCAGAGTTATGAGTATGAAGAGATACAAATTAGTCCATGCCCAAAAAAGTTTATTAGAGTACAGAATCATCTTCATAAATACATATATAAATTCTTATGAAGATAGAGGGACTGTCCAGGTTTTCCAAGACACTTTCCAAAATGATTCAAGGCACAAAATGTACATTATGGTGAATATACATGTTCTAGACTTTGTGCCTCTGATACAGCCCATCAAAGATCTGGCTTCATGACTTATAAAACTAAATGTACTGAATGAGATTCTGTTTGAGTGAAAAACCACAGACCTATAAACATCATGTAGGTAACTGCTCCAAAATATGGAGAATACAAATACAGCACTTTTAAAAAGCAAACACAAAATAACGGTGTAAATCCCAAAGTGTTCAAATGCTTCCATTTTGGATAATTAAGAATCTATACAAGTCTGTTCCCTGAAGCTAATGCATCACTAGTCTCTACTAAGGAAAATGAATTCTAAAAATTAACATGGTTTTCAGTATTTCAAATTTCACTATATAAAAACCTAGAGAGACCAACAATATTCAATAGCTTCAAAAGATAGCTAAAGACTTTGATGTAACCAACTTTACCAATGTTTGTCCAGGTCTGTTTTATACACAAGGAAAATACACTCTATAATTTCTTATAAAATAGCAAGTAAGGAGTAGATGTAGGAGATGTAGATGGGGAAAGAGAATTCAGGAAGTCCTTCTCTTCTGTAACTTTCACTTCAGAATCATCAAAAAGCAACCACTTCCCCTCATACTCCTTCAAGCTTTGCACTATATACGAAATTTTGTTCTCAAATCCACTAATATTAACATCTGTTTGGTCATTGGATTCCTTGTTTCTATCAGATTCATGGGTCCCATTAGTATTAGTATTGTTAGTCTCAGAATTTTTATTTTCAGCAAATGCTGCACCAGCAACCTTATCAGGATTAGATGCTTTGTTGTATAGCTCATAATCTGTTTTGCTCTTTTGTCCTCCAAGAAGTCCAACAGCTTCCACATTTTTTTTGTTCAAAACTTTACTTGGCTGTGTATTTCCACCGACTCTAATCGACACTTCATCATCATAATTTTCAGCCATACCCCTTGCTTCCTCCTCATTCAGTGGTTCTGGCTTACCTATTTCACACATCTGGTCAACCACAAAATTCCCCTTATCTAGTTCTAGACTGTTAAGGTCAGTGACTTTAACAGAAGCAGTGTAATGCCCACTACTAATTGTAATGCCACTATGCATCACCACCGCAAATAATCCATAGCTGTCATTAGTTGGCTTTGTGCTCCATTCTTCCAGTGACAATTTCAGAGGTGTCAATAAAGGAGTGTTGATCTTGGAAAGTCCACCACCATAACAGTCAAATCTTTGGAAGAAAAAGAATTCAAAACTTAGTACCCAGTGTGAAACCAAGTCTTATATTTAGTGCTCATTTGAAGTAAAAACCACGCTATGTTAAAAATAACTGCTAGGGCTGGGAAGGTGGCTCAGTGGTAGAGCGCTAGCCTTGAGCTGAAGAGCTGAAGGACAGCGACCAGGCCCAGAGTTCAGGCCCCACAACCAGACCAAAAAAAAAACAAACAAACTGCTAATGTTCAGGCGTTTCTCTGGATTAAATTCTATTTTTCCTCATACCGAAGCCTCCCATGTAGCTTGAATTACAGAGTGCAAACTCCTCCCCATACCTAGCTTGTTTGTTCAGATGAAGAGCTGTTTTTGCTCAGGCTAGCTTCAAACTGCCATCTTCCCAAACACCTTATCTTCCAAAGTAGCAGGGATTACGGCACTGTACCCAGCAACTGTTGATGGTGGCATTATTAAAAGACTCCACTTTTGCTGAGGCACCAGTGGCTCACACCTGTAATCCTAGCTACTCAGAAGGTTGAAAATCTAAGGGTGGAGGTTCAAAGTCAACCCAGGTAGGAAAGTCTGTAAGACTCTTTATTCTCTCAACTACTCAGAAGAAGCCCAAGTAGTGCTGTGGCTCAAGTAGTAGAGCACTAGACTTGAGCAGGCTCAGCAGAACAAAACAAGAAAAGATTCAACTTTTGGAGCCAAGTGCTGGTGGCTCCCACATCTAAACCTAACTTTTCATAGGAAAATGAGATTGGAGGATTACAGTTGGAAGCCAGCCTGGGCAGAAAAGTCTATCAGATTCCTACCTCTAGTTAAGTACCAAGAAGCCAAATTAGAGCTGTGACTCAAGCAGTAGAGCACTGGCCTTGAGCAAAAAACTCAAGGGACAGTACCCAGGCCCCTGAATTTAAGCCCATACACGCACAACAAAAGACTCAACTTTTGAAAGCAAAATCCTTTTCATTTTATATTTACAGTACTCACAAAGAACTGTAAATCATATTTCTGGCACCATGACATGTCTGAGAGCTACTGGGAAGCTATCATTGTAATTTCAAGTCATTAATGTGGAAAGCAATGAAATCTATAAGGACTCTGTATCAGAAAAGGTCAAGACTATCCAAAATAGATAAACCTACACCTCTTAAGAAACCATATTTAATAATGTATTCATACCAAAAGAATAAAGTAGATGTATTTTGTAAGAACCTTAACAGGAGAATAAGATTCTTTCTTAGGAGATTATTTGCTTCATTTCAGTCAGTACTAATATTCATAGTTTTTCAATATTTTGAATAAACTTCTATAGCATATAATTTTATTCACATAGCTTTTATTTACAATACTCACTCTAAGCCACTAGCAGCAAAGCACTTCAGATGAATAGTTATAACTTCAGGCATTTTATCAAACAGAAGACTTCGCTCTGCTTCAGTATAATGATGGCAATTTTCACAGAAATATTTATCTTCTCCTACAATCCTCTCCACTGAAGCAAATTGTGAAATTGCCCATCTCAAGGTCTTCATTTCTGATTTTGGCTCTGGAGAAACTATAAAAGAGAATCCTTTCATTCACAAACAACAAGTCTCATCAAAAATTAAACCTCAAGTTCCATATACAAGATTAGCATTCAATTTCAGTTGGCTAAATCATTTACAAGTCACTTAAGAGATTTCTTTTCCCTATACAAGTTGTTTAGCAGCACATACCATTCATTCATTCTTGATACAACTGGGATGTGAATTCAAGGTTCTGCATCTGCTACTCTACCACTTGAACCACATCCCCAGCCCAGCAGCATTATAGATCTTTAAAATACTTAAAATTAATCAGACCCAAAATACTTACATGACAGGAAAAGCAAAACCAAAATTAGACTAGTCTACTTCAGTTTAAGATGGGCCATTTTAATAGTCAATTTTCAACATCTAACAAGTAAAAATTTTATAGTTTTGAGTTAATGGCTCAATAATTGTGTTAAATATAACCTCATTAGCTCTGAGAGATTAACTTACTAAACCATTTTTTCAATTCTAACACACTATATAGAGATGGTAACAAGTTTCCAAATGTTACTAACAAATGACATTAAATAAGCAGGAAGGCTCTTTATTAGATCAGACATGGTGATATTGTGAATTGCTGAAGAAACCTTCCTTATTCCACACAAGACTCCATTTTGCTTACTTTCAGAACTCTCCTCTACTTTGGAAAGTTCATCTTCTTGTACTGGCACACTGATGTCCTGGAAATCTTCTCTTCTTTCTGTTAAACTTTCACATTCCAAACAGCGAGTCCTTAATACCAACTGACCTTGAAATAATTTCTCCACAAGCTCAAAGCCAATTTGTTCTGTACCTGAAAACAGGAAAATCTAAGTCAATATACAGATTAGTTTTCCAGCATTATCACAAATAACCAACTTTCAATTAAAATAAAGTGTATCCTGAATAAAAGGCTCATTTTTTTTTTAGCTTACTGGCATTAAGAGGTACCTTACTTATTGATAAAGTGTAGTCTTTGTAAAGATAGTTGTGAATTAGTAATATATTTAAAAGTTGCTGGGGCCACTCTCAGGAGGCTGAGATACGAGGATCACAGTTCAAAGCCAGAGTAGGCAAGAGTCACCAAAAAGAAGTGAATGTGGCTCAAGTGGTAGAGTGCTAGCATTAAGCACTAAAGCTCAGGGATAGTGCACTGGATGGGTAAATGGCTCAAGAGATAGAGCCACTTGAAGTACTCAGGTCAAACATCAGTCTCTCTCCTCTCTCTGTCTCTGACACACACACACACACACAGTTCACAACTTTGGTCAGTCATGGGGCATGAACTCTGGGCCTGGGTGCTGTCCCTCAGCTCTTCAGCTCAAGGCTAGCACTCTACCACTTGAGCCACAGCACTACTTCCAGCTTTTTCTGCTTATGTGGTGCTGAGGAATTGAACCCAGAGCCTCTTGAAGCATTCTACCACTAAGCTACCTTCCCAGCCTCCAGTTCTGGTTTTTGAGTGGTTAATTAGAGATAGGAGTCTCACAGGGCTGTCTGGCTGGCTTTAAACCACAATCTCAGATCTCAGCCTCCTCAGTAACCAGAGGCGTGAGCCACCAGTGTCCAAAGATGGCACATCCTACAAAAATATTAACATCAATTCTATAATTTTCTCAGAGATAGTAGAAATAGACAAATCAAGACATAAGTTTAAAAACTTCACTAAATCCAATTTCCCAGATGAGCCTATGTCTACTGCTGCAGACTAAAAAGTTTTCATTAAAATAACTGATGGTTTATAGACACTACCATAGGACACAAATGTACGCATGCACACAATACTTAAAATGCTACTGTTCCCATTTGGTTTTAGATTCTTCTCTAAATAAAACCAGTTGTAAAGATTATATTACATACATATCTAAGAGAAAAATTCCACTTTGCAAGTGTTAATACTGTCAGTCTTAACAATTATTATACTGACCTTTGTTTATGGGCTTAACTTCATTGACATTTACAGATGGAACATTTCCAGAAGGTTCAGGTCCATAACCATGAGTTGTGTTATCACTTTCATACTTTCCCAAGTCCTCTTCAAGATCATACTCATTTTCTTTAGATTGTACTTTTGGTCCTTGGTTTGTTATTTTTCCCAGACTACAGAATTTAGAAAGAATGCTGGGTTGCTTAGTTTCAGACTTTAACCAATTTATTTTAACTCTTGATTTCTTTTGTGAGGGTCTTGTACTCTCATTTTCAGAAACGCACTTGGGGATTATTTTAGGAGGAATCTCTAATGTATCACCAGTAGCTTTTCTCTTTGATCTAGTTTGTCTCTGGTTCTCTTCCAATGACTGGCATTCCTTGGATATTTTAACTTTTTTCTTCATGTTACCAAATTCACTGTCACTTTTTCTTTTCCCATTTCCTTTTGGGATTTTTTCATTATAGTCCTCAGAATTCCTCATGCTGTCAGTCTCTATGTTGTTAATTCCACACATTTCCTCTTTCTGATGAGAATTTTCTTCTACCTTAGTAGACTCTGACACATTGTTTACTTCTTCTTTTTTTAGAAATTGGCATGTTTCTTGAATGTTTCCCAAAATACACTGTAACACTTCCTGAGCATCATGCTGTAGATATCCTTCATACATAGGGTTGAGTTCCCTATAAATAAAACATGAAAGAAAAATCTCCCTAAAAATTACTTTAGCTTATAAACCCACTTTTGGGGGCTGGGAATGTGGCTTAGTGGTAGACTGCTTGCCTAGCATGCATGAAGCCCTGGGTTTGATTCCTCAGTACCACATAAACAGAAAAATCCAGAAATGACACTGTGGCTCAAGTGGTTGAGTGCTAACCTTGAGCCAAAAGAAGCTAAGGGACAGTGCCCAGGCCCTGAGTTCAAGCTCCAGGACTGGCAAAAAATTAAAATTAAAAAATAAAAATAAAGATCTATTATTCTTACCTCTTAGATACAAACATCATAAGACTTCGATCCTTTTCTAAATGTAAGAATAACCAATGCTGACATGCCACATTTTATGCAAAATGCCTTTTGTATTATATGTATACATAATCCTCACAATAACCAAGAGGCAGGAACTATTATTCTCATTATTAAGACACTGAAACTAAGGTACCAAGAAGTTAAACTTGTCTGTGGTAACAGAGCTATTTAAGATGCAAAGCCTGGATTTAGGTCTCACTTAACTGGTAGAGCACCTGCGAACAAGTGCAATGTCCTGAGTTCAAATCCTAGTACCAAAAGAAGATGCAAATCTAGGATCTGAAACTAGCTCTTGGCCACCATGCTGTCACTTCACAAAGGAAAGCTATATACTGTCTATTTCAAACTGGATGATTATATGATTTTTTTTTCCCTTGGGGAGGTCTGTTCGTGAGGCCTGAACTCTGGGCTTGGGCGCTGTCCCTCAGCTCTTCAGCTCAAGGCTAGCACTCTATCACCTGAGCCACAGCACCACTTCCAGCTTTTTTCTTTTTGCTTATGTGGTGCTGAGGAATCAAACTCAGGGTCTCAGGCACGCAAGGCAAGCGCTCTACAACTAAGCCACCTTCCCAGCCCATGATTTTTTTTAAATAAGAGACATAGTTTAATTTTTTTTTTGGGGGGGGGGTCTTGGTAGTGGAGCCTGAACTCTGGGCCTGGGCGTTGTCCCTCAGCTCTTCAGCTCAAGGCTAGCGCTCTACCACTTGAGCCACAGTGCCACTTCCGGCTTTTTTCTCTTTTTGCTTATGTGGTGCTGAGGAATCGAACCCAGGGCCTTGAGCATGCAAGGCAAGCACTCTACCACTGAGCCACCTTCCCAGCCCAACATAGTTTAATTTTTTAAATGATGCTAATTATGTATAGAGTAAATTTCATTTATTAAAACAATATTCCAAAACAATCTAATCTAGTTAACAAACAGGTTCCTTCTCAACACATACAATAAAGCATTTAGAACTTACAGTTTCTAATCTGAAATCCTTAAGACCACATGTACTTGAGAATTCAGAATTTTTCAGATTTTTTTTTTTTCCAGTTGTGGGGCTTGAATTCAGGGCCTGGACATTGTCCCTGAGCCGCTTTGTGTTCAAGGCTGGTGCTCTAACACTTGAGCCACAGCACCACTTCCAGAGATAAAGAGTCTCTTGGACTTTCCTGCCTGGACTGGCTTTGAACCACAATCCTCAGATTTCTATAAACAAGACAATATGATGTTGGACATGTGGTAGAACACTTACTTGGTAGAATGGGACAGGGCTTAGGATGGATCCTAGTACTGCCAAAGGAAGTTTTTTTAACACTGGGTGGTGGTAGCTCACACCTGTAAATCCTAGCTACTCAGGAGGCTGAGATCTGAGGATCGCAGTTCAAAGCCAGCCCAGGCAGGAAAGTCCGTGAGACTCAGAAAACCGGAAGTGGCGCTGTAGAGCTGAAGAGCTGAGGGACAGCACCTAGGCCCAGAGTTCAAGCTCCATGAAAAAAAAAAAGTTTTTTTAAGAGTCGGTGATACGTGTGTGTGTGTAAGCTCAGATGGAGAAATTGGGTTCTACAGCAAGCTTCAAGTAAAAATCCAAGACCCATTCAAAGAAAATTATTTCGAAGGCAAAAGAGCTGGAGGTGTGGCTCAAGCAGTAGAGCATTTGCCTAGCAAGTGTAAGACTTTGAATTCAAACCCCAATACTACTTAAAAGAAAAACACTATAGGGTATTATTGTTTTGTTGTTTTTTTTTAATGGAGAATACTGAGCTCCACACAACACAAAACCAAGATTTGGTCATATGTGAAATTGTTTTATACTTTCACAGACAGACTACATGATACGAGGTAGCTGTACCTTTAATTAAGTATATTAATTCTTCTACAGAATATTGGTAGTAAATATGAACAGACTATAAACAGCCTCTTGCAAGTCCAAACCTAATGAATACCAAATATACCCAAAAAAATCCAGTTTGCAGAGATTCTGGAAAATCAAAGACAATGGACCAGGAGGCATTTTAATGTTCTTTGCCCTTTATTCCTAATTCATATTACCAATCTCCTCTAAACACAAAGAATAATTACATAAGAGCTGGGCACTGGTGGCTCACACATGTAATCCTAGCTATTCAAGAGGCTGAGATCTAAGGATCACAGTTCAATGGCAGCCTGTGAGACTCTGACTTCCAATTAACCACTCAAAAACTGGAAGTGGTGCTATGGCTCAAAGTAGTAGAGTGGTAACCTTGAGCAGAAGAGCTCAGGGACATTGACATTGAAGCCCCACAACCAACAACAACCAAAAAAATAACTACGGGCTGGGAAGTTGGCTCAGTGGTAGAGCGCTAGCCTTGTATGCCTGAGGCCCTGGGTTCGATTCCTCAGCACCACATAAGCAAAAAGAAAAAAAAGCCGGAAGTGGTGCTGTAGCTCAAGTGGTAGAGCGCTAGCCTTGAGCTGAAGAGCTGAGGGACAGCACCCAGGCCCAGAGTTCAGGCCCCAGGACCAGACCCAAACAAAAAAAAAAAAACACTACATAAGAATGATAAAATTGGGGCTGGGAAGATGGCTCAGTAGTAGAGCGCGTGCCTTGCATGCCTGAGGTCCTGGGTTCGATTCCTCAGCACCACATAAGCAAAAGGAAAAGAGCTGAAAGTGGCACTGTGGCTCAAGTGGTAGAGCACTAGCCTTGAGCTGAAGAGCTGAGGGACAGCGCCCAGGCCCAAAGTTCAGGCCCCACAACCGGACCCCCCCCCCAAAAAAAAAGAATGATAAAATTAGCTGGGCACCAGTGGCTCACACCCGTAATCCTAGCTACTCAGGAGGCTAAGATCTGAGGATCGTGGTTTGAAGCCAACCTGAGCAGGAAAGTCTATGAGACTCATCTCTAATTAACCATCAGAAAACCAGACATGGTACTGTGGCTCAATGTGGCAATGTGCTAACCTTGAAAAAAAGAGCTCAGGGGCAGCATTCAGGCTCTGAGTTCAAGTTGGCCCTATGACCCGAAAAGAAAAAGAATGATAAAATTGCATTATATGATATACCTGAGTGTGTTAAGCAGTCGCCTTGGCTGAGTAGCAAGTTCATCAGTATATTTGTCTGGATTTAAGAGAAAACTAGCTTGAAGCTGTTCAACAGAAATGATTAAAGACTGTAAACTACATATAAGTTCGTAACTCGCCAAAGGATCTTCTTTGCAATTTTCCTGTCAACAAAGAAAAAAAGCATATTAATTTGTGAACAAATTAAGTATCTTCACCCTTGATTCGTCTCACTAAACAACCTACCTTTTCTCAATCTAATTTCATTATCCCACAATTTTATAAGATACAGGAATAAACAAGATTTTTTCCTCATTATTTTCTATGTGGCTATTAACACTTTCCTAATTATGGGAGACAGAGGTTTCTAGGAGTATAGTTCAGTGGTAGAATATGTGCTTACTTATAAAAGGTGTTAGGTTTGAACTCTAGCACCAAAAAAGGTATCAATTTGAAAACAAAATGGAAAATAACTGGTACATGAATATGACAAATTATGATCGTGGTATACAAATAAATTTGACAACACAAAACAGAAAAAAATGCTATCTTCAAGGTTATTGATAATGTAAGTAAGTTGCCTTAAAGGCGTTAAAAACTGCCTACCTTACAATTCTGAGAAATTCTACCTCATTAATAGGAATGATCTGTCACCTTCCCCTTAAATTTTTTTGAGTATCTACTACGTATTTTTACATACAAGCAAGTGAATTTCAACTGATTTGATATTTTAAGTTCTTTTTTTTACCTTATCTTTCTGATTGGATTCATCCTTTAGAGCTTCTTTCTTCCTTGAAATAATATTAAATAAGTGCTTTACTCCAGATTTAAAACCAGGACAAAAATATAATACCTATAAAAAGTGAGACTGTTTATTTAACCATACTACAACAGAAATCATTAAAATACTATCATACTTTCTGTAGAGCAGTTTTGATGTATATTACCTAGACTCTGAGATTAAACTTCCTGTGAAAACTTGTGTCTACTTCTTCAGTAGTAGACACTTCCCTCACAAATACTGTGCCCAGGCCAATACTGCTAAGATTTAAAGTTCCAAGGGCATAAAACCTAACGCCATTAGTTTCAGGGGTAAATATACCAGGAATCAGGAGAAGTTAAAGGTTTGCCCTGTCTCAATTTTGTTACCTCCCCTTTACTTAATGTATCGTTTTCTCTTATTCCAATGAACTTGAGTAGCATGCAAAAAGAATTATCTTTTTGTCAGTTGTGGGACTTGAACTCAAGGCCTGAATGCCATCCCTGAGCTCTTTCGTTCAAGGCTAGTGGTCTACTAGTTTGAGCCACAGCTCTATTTCTGGTTTTTGAGTGGTTAATTGGAAATAAAGTCTCACAGGGCCTTTTATGCCAGGGCAGGCTTCAAACAGCAATCCTCAGATCTTAGCTTCCTGAGTAGCAAGGATTACAGATGTGAGCCACCAGTGCCCAGCTTAAAATCATTATTTTAACCTGGGTTATTTACAATCAAATGCAAAGATAGTATGGACAATTAAAGTCATCCAATAGCCTAAACTTTTCAGCAACATTAAACATTATATAATTCTTTGCCTCCTAACATTTCACTACGTAGCAGAATTCAAAATTGTCAATTTACCTGAAGTATACTATTAAGATAACAAGTATTTCCAAGATTATTCAGTCCCACAAATGGTAACAAGTTTTCTCTCTTCTCACAGTTTATAGGTGAGGACTGTGCTGCAGGAACAACTTGATCACTGGTAAATATAAAGGAGAAATGGGCATGATGAAGTAGCATCTTAAATAAAAGTGGAAATATTACTTCCCTAGATTTAATCTTTTCCTAAAAGTGGTGATTATGATAAAAAAAAATGTAATAATTTCACTCAGATGACATTTTAAAAGATCTCTTTGTAGGCTCAAAATTGGTATATACTCAGGATAGAGATTTTAAAGCATTATTGTACCTGGCAAGTCTCAAAATAATTCTGTTAAGCCAGGCTCCAGTAGCTCACACCTATAATCCTAGTTACTTAGGAAGCTGAACTCAGCTTTGCAGTTTGAGGCCAACCAGGGGACACACTCTGAGATCCTTTTCAACCAATGGCTGGATGAATTGATACAAACCCCTCATCCTAGCTATGTAGGAGACAGATTATCAATCAGGAAGACTATGAATCCAGACCAGCCCAGGATAAAAAGATCCATAGTCTCCATCTCAACAGAAATTGGGTGTAGTGGCTGTGATTCCAACTATTGCAAATGAAAAAAGAGGATTGAGCTTCCAAATACATGTTTGCAAGACTGAGACCCTATCTCACAATCAGTGCAAAACAGGACAGGAGGTGGCTCAGCAGCAGAGAACCTAAGTTAGGACCCTAAATTCAAATCCCAGTATTGCCAAAGTAATTCTGTTAACAGAATGTTAATCCCATTTTAGATTTAAAAAAAAAAAGATAAACTAGTACTGTAATTTCTTAGCTTCTACTGCAATATTTTAATCAAGTAGTCCAGTTCTGACTTTAAAAACCGGCAATTTACCTTTTTATAATAATATGACAAGCTGGACTAAATCAGATTGTTTACAAAGATTAAGAAAAAAGTCTATGAGGGGCTGGGAAGGTGGCTCAGTGGTAGAGCACCTGCTTTGCACGCATGAGGCCCTGGGTTCGATTCCTCAGCACCACATAAGCAAAAAGAAAAAAGCCGGAAGTGGCGCTGTGGCTCAAGTGAGGTAGAGCACTAGCCTTGAGCTGAAGAGCTGAAGGACAGCGTCCAGGCCCAGAGTTTAAGCCCCATGACCGGACCCCCCCCCTCCAAAAAAGAAAAAAGTCTATGAATATACAGCTATCCCTCAAAAATAAACTATCCAAGTCAGGTGCTGCCTGGTGCCAGTGGTTCAGGTCTATAATCCTAGCTACTCATGAGGCTGTTATCTGAGGATCACAGTTCAAAGCCAGAAGTGGGGCTGGTGCTCAAGTGGTAAAGCACTAGCCCTGAGCTGAAGAGATGAGGGACAGCGCTCAGGCCCAGAGTTCAAGCCCCATGACCAACCAAAAAAAAAAAAAGAATTTAAGTTCACTTTAAATTTTCAGCAGGTATGAGTAATTATAACTACAAAGTTTGAACAGATCAGGTAACAACATGTCAAGTCTTCTGAACAAAAAAGAAAAATCAACTATTATTTCTTTACCATTACACAACATGCTGCACTAGAAATAATCAAATGTAAAACAAACTTTGAAAGATGAATAACCATTCCTTTCAGCTAATCTAAAGGCTTATGGTCCACATTAATGTTTTTTTTGGGGGGATTCAGTCGTGAGGCCTGAACTTTGGGCCTGGGCGCTGTCCCTCAGCTCTTCAGCTCA